ATATATATATATATATATATATATATATATATATATATATATATATATATATATATATATATATATATATATATATATTTAACAATTATACCATGAGCTCGAGTCGTATATGAGCTGATAGCCGACGAGGTGCGCAGCACCGAGTCGGCTATCAGCCATATATGACGAGAGCGAATGGTATAATTGTTTTATAATATAGTGTAATAGCCATTAACTGAAGAAATATTTCAGATTATCCTCTGTTTTACAATGTCTTGACAATTTGTTCGGCCAAAAACCGCTTGGCCTTGAAAATTTGAAATACTTTTGTTTTACAACTCGAAGACGAAGCGAAAGAAATGGTTTTAGAACCGGCATATCTCACTGAAAAGCTCAGATATACTATACAGATGTTTGGTAGTATAGTATAAAAGTGCTTTTTGACTGCAAATTCATTTGTCTTTCGTTGCAAACTTTTCTGAACAATTTATATTCTCAATGAACATGTTTTTTTTCGCTGTTGGTTCGGTATTAATTGTTTAAAAATCTTGTATTTAAACTAATTTCTATGTAATAAATGTATTTTGCTAACCTGTCAAATTTTTTTGAGAGTTTTTCCTTCTACTATTATCTTTCTCAAAGCGATTGTTTTCCTTTTTCCTGCTTCGCAAAACTCATGTAGTTTTTCGACCGCCATCTTGTTTTTCTCTACTCGCCGAATATGAGCTGATATACAGCGAGTAATTCAACCAATCAGATTGCAGAACAGCTCATATACGGTGAATGACTATATTATAAATATTGTTGTCTTTTTCGGGGTATCTTTTATACGTTATATCTTGAAAAACTCTCCCGTGCATGTTTTATCCAAATTGCACGCGAAACTATCCCATTATATAGCTACACTATTTAGCTTTGTCAATAGAGGAGAAGGGTTTTTTCACGTTAATTTTTCTCGGGGGATAGATGATGGAATTGAACGAAAATGGCAGAAACGCTCAGTTTTAGCGGCGATAATTAACGATGTCCCAAAGTTTTATCCCCTTAGGGTATAACTATAAGAGATCCTAATCCTATGACGGGAAATTTGATAAATATAGCCGCCATCCACTAATATAAGGCGGTGGACTGCATATCGTAGTGTTACATTTGTTAATAATTAATTAATTTTTATCACAATTATAACTTTTAGTAACCGCTACATTCGCATTATTAGTATGCATTTTTAGTTTTATAAAACTGCGCACTGTATATCTGAAAACAATGTATAAAATAAACAGCAATAGGTCCTTGGATGAAAATAGTTATATCCATGAGTAGCACGAAAAACAAATTAGCATCACCAAAGTCCATTCGAATACGTCCACGGTATTTGTACAATGTATGCCCATAGTTTGAAAATGGAATTAGTATTGATTTTAAATTGTATACAATTCTTGCAAAGATCCATATACAATTTCCATCTCACAAATTTTGAGAAAAAAAAAACACTCCTATTTGAGTGACAACTAGAGAGAGGAAATTTATAATTTAGAATAATAAGAGCGACTTAGCCACTTAATTACCTTTGTATAGCAAACGAAATGGCATCACCACATGACCAATATCCGTGCAAGATTCTCCTTGCAATTTGACAGGCAGGAAGGTCAGGATTAAACATGTTGGTATAATGAAGAAAACTTTAAGAAAACTTTTCATTGTATCTTTGAAAGGAAGGAAAGTTAGCCAATTTGCATGCATCCGTTATATGTACAGCGTCTTCTGTCGACTGAACATTCAGATAATAGAGACCCATGCCTGTTGAGTTACCATAGTGACACCTGCGTTAATCTCTATGGATGAACGTTTTCGCTAATCGAATATTAATTCACTCAAACTGAGTCATATTTTTATAATTTATTTTTCTCAGCTTGTTAAAGTTGTTTTTTATTTTTTTATTTCATCCATTTTGTCTGTTCGTTAAAGCAACGACCATTTGAAGTAATATAATCATTCAGTTGTCGCAAAACAGTTTAGAATAATGAAAAATCTATCCCTAATCTAATCCCAAAAATCAAATTTCCATCTGTGTATAATATTTTACAATTTTTTTCATGAATTGCGTACATCCACAGTGTTTTAACACCATTTAACTATATTAGTTGCCGAAGGCGAGGTGATTACTAACTTAAGTATCAGACCGTACTTTTTAGAGCACAGGCACGCCTGATCGCGGGCGAAGGGGAGAAAAGTACGGCCTGACACAAAAGCGGCATTTTGCCTGGTTATTCAGTCCAGAATCTGGACTGGGCGTTGATTGGATGAGACGATTCAAAATATTACGTCACCTGAATTGATCATCAAGATTCTGTAAATACAGTAATCTTGACTCTTGAGTTAATTCTGGTCTTGGAGAAGTAATTTTATGGCGCACGACCATTTTAAAGTTGCCTTAGAAGCGGCACTTAAGTTTTTTCCAAACTTTAAATTAAAAGAAGACCAAAAAGTATGTATTCGGAGCATAGTTTTGGACAAAATGGACGTTCTTCCAACAGGATACGGAAAGAGTATCATCTACCAAATACTCCCAAAGGTTTTATCCGAATTGCGATACAACCATACAGGGGATAGAAAGACAGCTACAGCTATCGTGGTCAGTCCACTCGAGCAGATTCGTAAGCAGCAAGTAGAAAGACTGAATTTAAGGGGAATCGAATCTGCTTCACTCGTGGACGTTAAGGCTAGTGACGTTACAATGCTTTTGCGAATTCGAGGTCCTTTTCGGAAGTGCTAAGCAGTGGTTATCCGATAAGTGGGTTAAGAACTTAAAGTACGGCTACCTCAACGAAACCGAGGTATTGGTAGTAGACGAAGTGCACACAATTCAGACATGGTAAGAAGTATTTCTGATTAATGAAATATTATGTATAGTTTTCAATTATAAACATATTGTTGTGCCTGCTAATAAGTGCCAATTAGAACGTTTATACAAGAACACAGTCATGACTGAAGCAATTAAGAGCTTATGGTTTTGTTTATCCCCTATTGGTAAAGGACCTAAAATATTACTGAAATTTTCAACTTTTGTAGGCTTTCATCTTGTTTATGTTTTAATCTTAACGCGCGTAAATTTAACTGAAAACGGAAGTGATTTTGATTGGATATTTATTCATCAATGACGTGTGCCGCAGGAGAGGGCGGAAGAGTATTTTAATAATAAGTGTGTCAGGCTTTATTTTTCTCGTGCGCCTTCATTTCGCGTTCGACTGATTTGAAATCAAGTAAATAGAATAAAGCCTGATACTCAGGTCAGGTGATTACAAGCCTATAACCTCTCTGGCAATATTTACTGCTCAGACTGATCTGAGCAGTGACTATTGCTTTTCCCAAGAAAATTGCTGAAAATCAGACGGAAGTAAATTATTGATGCAAATTATGTTCATAAAATATATACGTGTGCCTCAATATGTGTATTATGTATCTCATCGCCTAAGTTATACTAAAACATTTAGTCGCCTCAGGCTCTTTGATTACATGCCTATATTCACTTCGACTTTGGCTCAGTGAATATCTGCTGATGGAACCAATCAGAGCCATTTTTAAACAATTTTTCAATATAGGCTACTGCGCGTGCGAAATTGTACTATTAAGCAAAACTGTAATAAAAAAACATGCATGACAGAAAGCTTGGACATCTTTTTACACAATAAGTAGTAAATCACCTTTTTGAAATTTTAGAGAGACCATACGTATGACAAATCCTGAAGTATATATATATATGGTAGGCCTAGTTTGTTTTTGCTGTTTATGTATGACTTTGCTGTGCTATTTACGTGCCTACAAGGTCTTGAACTTGCACAGCTTTCTTTTTACCTCGGGTCGGTACGACACCGAGGTCATAAATTCGGCTCCTATTTTTTTTTTTTTTAATTTTTTTTCCATTTGTGTCGAGCCGCGCGCGTAGTTGAAGAGCCTGCGGAGGAGACGACAACTTCCGGTAAATAAGTGTACTTCCGGATTATTTCAAGCATCGGCCAAAGCGAAACGGAACCCGAAGCTGTCCTTGCACAAAATCCGTCAAATTTTTTTATTTAAAACCAGAAGATGTGCTAATGTTGACATAGATGTTTAGCTGGATAACTATTCTCGAGTATATGTTGATATAATGCACAATACTTCGTATGCATAGCATGGGAATACCGCGGCCAACTTTCACTTGTTATCTATTATAATTACTGACCCGAATCAAAAGTAATTATTTTCGGCTGGAAGACTAATATACGTTGCTGCTTGTCGGGATCGTATGACAATGAACCTATCCAACGTTACACTAGACATTTGTGAGGACATGCATATAGACATAACCATAGGCACTGTAGTGCATTGTGATAGAACAGATTTCAGTTTAATTAATCGCCCTAAATTAAAATCTCCACAAGCGGAGGTCAATTATAGTGTTCTAGTTTACATATTATCATTAATGATTAGGTTTACTCAAATAGCGTATTGGATAAACACGGGAATAGAACTTATGGTGTATTCTGCACATGCGTATATCTAGGATAAAATCCTACAAGCGCAAACGAAACTATTTCTCTATAAAATTGAACTGAAAAGACTCACAGCGACCGTTTCCAACAGTGCTTCAGGCACCCGACGACACCGTATGGGGGGCCTTTAGCACTGTCACCTTCTCATCTTGGGATGTTCACGTTATCGCGTGTACATGTCAGGGTGACGAAGATGCATTATTGCTAATAATGTCTGTGTGCACTGATGCGCGCTGCATTATTTTGAATAATGTTGTGTGCTATTTTAACGCGTACATAGAATATGACGCGTATAAACATTTACCCCTGAGCCGGAATTTCCCTATACAACCAAAAAGGCCGCTCCCGGTTTTCAGTAGAACGTTAAATGAAAACTTCTCGACATTCGCTGATATAATGCAGAGAGAAAACAATAGGTTTGATGAGGGCCAGTAATTATTGTCAATAAAATATTAAAACGGAGCGTTGATTAACTGATTCACCATTTATACTAGTGAA